CTTTATATACAACAAATTAAGAACTATGCCCTTATGTGGTGAGACTGCTTTCCATTTTAGAACTTTTCCAGACTGAGTTTAGACAGTATTTAGCCTTGTTTTAGTCTCTTTTGAGTGAGGATTAAGAGAACCCTGGTTCTCAAGGGCAGGGTGCCAGGTCCAATTTAGCATTAGCTGGTTCATAGATAATGAATCCATTGATTGAATAATCACTAACTGGCAGAAACTGATGGGCTTTTCCTAATTAGATGAAATCTGTCAACATGCCACTCTGTACTCTGTATCTATTTGCTATGTTTCTATATCGGAGAGTTACATATGGTATGCTTTTGTTCTACTGAGGAGAATGCTGTGCTGATATAGCTGTACACTTTTTTTTTATTCTTTGTTTGTTTAATTTTATTATTTTAAAAAATATATTTCATTGCACTTTAGGTTCTGGGGTACATGTGAAGAACATGCAGGATTGTTGTATAGATACATACATGGCATTGTGGTTTGCTGCCTCCATCACCATCACCTACATCTGGCATTTCTCCCCATGTTTTCCCTCCACAACTCCCTACCCCCCTCCCACTGTCCAACCCCTAGTCCCCCCCAAAAGACCCTAGTGTGTGATGCTCCCCTCCCTGTGTCCATGTGTTCTCATTGTTCAATACCGCGTATGGGTGAGAACATGCGGTATTTGATTTTCTGTTCTTGTGTCAGTTTGCCGAGAATGACGGTTTCCAGGTTCATCCATGTCCCTACAAAGGACACGAACTCATCATTTTTTATGGCTGCATAGCATTCCATGGTGCCTATGTGCCACACTTTCCCCGTCCAGTCTATCATCGATGGGCATTGGGTTGGTTCCAGGTCTTTGCTATTGTAAACAGTGCCACAATGAACATATGTGTGCATGTGTCTTTATAATAGAATGATTTGTAATCCTCTGGATATATACCCAATAATGGGATTGCTGGGTCAAATGGAATTTCTATTTCTAGGTCCTATTTCTATTTCTAGGCGATTTGAGGAATCGCCATACTGTCTTCCACAATGGTTGAACTAATTTACACTCCCATCAACAGTGTAAAAGTGTTCCTATTTCTCCACATCCTCTCCAGCATCTGTTATCTCCAGATTTTTTAATGATCTCCATTCTAACTGGTGTGAGATGGTATCTCAATGTGGTTTTGATTTGCATTTCTCTAATGACCAGTGATGATGTGCATTTTTTCACGTTTGTTGGCCTCATATATGCCTTCTTTTGAAAATCGTCTGTTCATATCCTTCGCCCACTTTTGAATGGGTTTATTTTTTTCTTGTAAATCTGTTTTAGTTCTTTGTAGATTCTGGATATTAGCCCTTTGTCAGTGGGTAGATTGCAAAAATTTTTTCCCATTCTGTTGGTTGTTGGTTCACTCTAATGATTGTTTCTTTTGCTATACAGAAGCTCTGGAGTTTAATTAGATCCCATTTGTCTATTTTGGCTTTTGTTGCCAATGCTTTTGGTGTTGTAGTCATGAAGTCCTTGCCTATGCCTATGTCCTGAATGGTTTTGCCTAGGTTTTCTTCTAGGGTTTTTATGGTGTTAGGTCTTATGCTTAAGTCTTTAGTCCATCTGGAGTTAATTTTAGTGTAAGGTGTCAGGAAGGGCTCTAGTTTCTGCTTTCTGCACATGGCTAGCCAGTTTATTTATTCTCTGCTAATCTCCCACACATACTAGGAAGTCTTGTATTTTGGCTTCTGGTTGGGTTTGGCCAATGAGAGGCAGAGGAAGGAGATCAGGGGGCAGGAGGAAAAAGAGATGAGGACATTGATTCCCTCCTTGCTTCCAGGCTCTGCTGGAACTAGTTCCTTGGTTTCCCTTAGGGTCTAAGGGTGGTAAGGGCTTCTGTCTTCTACTGCCTGAATACCTCAATATGCACTGTTTGTTTTCTTCATCCTGCCCACTTCTTCATAAATAGTCCCTTAATTAAATTCTGTTCAGTTAAACTCTTTCAAATAGAATGCACATCTCATTTGGAACCTAACCAATATATATACACAGAGCAATTTAGATTTTTATCATCTTCTGAACACTTAAAATTAGCAATATTGATCCCCAAAATGATAGTTATCTACCCAATATGTTAAAATTATTTTCCTAAATTCTACTCAGTTACTTCAGTCTCAAGGTGACTCTGCAGATGTCTAGGGCAAATGGTTCTTAAGAATAATACTATTCTTTATGTGGCTGTGGTTCAGAATCCCTTGGCATACAACTTTTGAATGGTACTTTTATCACCTGTTTCTTTTTTGTTTTGTTTCTGTTCTTTTCTTCAAAGCAGGATGCAGGAGCTTTCAAAAGAAATAATCAACTAAAATCCTTGGAGTCTTCAATAAGATAATTCAGTACATGACAATATAAAGTGACTAATCTTTCTTAAAAAATAAACATTTGGCGGTTACCAAATATATATGGAAAGACCATATTGGAGCATTTAACTTTCCTGTTATAAGCTATTTGTAGGTAATTTTTAAATACATATTGCAGGCAAACTAAGAGGAACACTAAAACATTTTCTTTACCATTTCCTTTTGTGTAACAGAGTTTCTCAACTAAGAAAGCTCAATATTATTACTTGACTTACAGAAAAAAAATATATTTATCCAAAAAAATCATAGATTTCTCACCTCTATTTATCTCTGCCAGCATTTATTTACCTTCGACTATTTCACTTTCTCTTACTTCTCTGCATTACTTTTATCATGTCCATCTTCCTAGTTTCCTGCTATTTACTTAGCTCTTTTAAGATTTTCTCCAAATTAGGTACAACATTCTTTATTTTGTTTTGTATTTTTAATAATGAAGTTAAGATGTTCTCTGAATGTGTTTTTTTCCCCCATACTTCTCTGTTTTCACTAAAATATGTTCTTGTTTTATTTGCTTGGTAAATATTATGCAATTTTCTTTATAATTTCCATTTGATTCAGTAAATATCCAGAATTATGTTTCTTAGTTTTAATATTATTACATTTTGCTTATAATTTTATTATTTACTTTTAATGTTGGTAGATTTTTATCCAAGAAAATGGCCGTCCATACTTCTTAATTTTTATAATTACCTTTATCTTCCAGTAGCTGGTCAATTTTTGTAAATTTTCCTTGGACATATGTAGAAAACATATTATCATACAATCAATAAAACCTCTAAAATTTATTTAATACATTTTTTTGTTAATTGGTTATTTCAACATTTTGTGGCTTTCCTTTCTGGCGTTCTGTCTGATTCACATGCATTCAAATGTTCACAATACTATTTTTCATCAACTTCTTTTATTTTTAGTAACATTTGTTTTAATATTCATATGGTATGCTCTTTGGTACATACATGCTCATTAGATTTTAGTATGAGCTTCACACAACTTTATATGACTGCTCACTACATAACTCCCATCTCTGGCCCTGCTAAGTGATTCTGTATTAAATTCCAATTTATCTCATGTTATTCTTCCAATCCCACTCTTTGCATTGATTATATTTGCTGGCACTACACTGACTATTCCTTTCATTTCAACACTAATTTCATTAAATGTTATGAATAACTCATAACTACTTTATCTTTGTTTACTGCAAGTTTGAACTTTTATTCTTTTCAGAGGAGAATTTAGCATGCTTACATGCAGCATTAGATTGATATACCTAATTTATCTCTTCTATTTTAATTCGTTTACTTTTTATTTAACTCATTGCTTTATTTTCTATGCTTTCCATTTATTAAAGATTACTCCTCCTAAACTCATAATCAAATATGTTATTATATTTAAAAAATGAGATCTCTACTACTGTCTCCCTCTTCTCCAACAAGACAGACTATTCTGTTGCTGCTTTTCTTACTCTCTAATAAGATGAGTGCATGTGTTTCAAATATTAATTAGATGAGTTTTAACGACAGCTATCCCTACAAGAGAAATATTTTTAATGACCATGAGTGAAAAGATGTAACAATTATACATTTCAATACAAAATGCAGAGAAGAAGGATAATACCAAACCAATCTTTCTTTAGTAATTGTATTGAGAGGATGCATACGGGTATAAATATATCTGTTGTATACACAACAATGTTATCCTAAGAGTAATGGTATTACAAAGATTATAGACGAAATGAGCTAATCTGTAAATTACATAGTTTTCAAGATCAGTATGCTATCTTACCCTTTTGTCTTTCTTTTACATGGTAAAGTTTAATGGGTATTGGAGGAAATTTTATTTTTTCAATTAAGGAATAAAATGCTTCACTGGTTTTCAATGTATTACCAGGATAATACCTATTTTAATGATGAAATTTTTAGCCTTTTGTGGCATTTTATTAAAATAAGTGAAGAGAATTTTATGATTTATTTAAAGGAGGTTCATTTAAACTCCAAACACTTTTATTTATAAGCCTCAACCATTCTGGTTGAAAAATATGTTACTAAGTGGAGAGAAAGTGAACTTTAAATATTCTATGGAATTAATACAGCAATGCAAGATGGCTAAATACAGAAAGGTAAGGATTCATTGCACAGTACCTTAGCATAGTACTGAATAGTACTGACAGTACACCAATTTTTTTCTATTTTGTCATATAATTGCTGCTTTTTATGATTTCTACCAACAGTGATCTGTATGAGTAAAGCATTGATAGTTAACTTTAAGGCAGACATCGTGTTGACTACAAAATATATGATGAGTTCATAAAATATGCTAGTCTAGATATTGAAAATGATATCAGACAACAGTGAGAATCACCAGTGTGTCAGTTATCAGCACAAAAACTACTGGCTTAAAAGAGTTTATACTCTAATGTGAATTGAGCTGGGACAATGTAGGAAAGGAATAGGTGGGATGGAGGTAAATGGATAAAACAAGCATAAAAATATCCTGAAATCCTCATTTGATATTGCTCATAATGTAATGATATTAGAAAAATAATGACATAATATTCCTATATTTTAACTGCCTTCAACCATAACCGCCATGTGACTTACTTTCACCTGTAGAATAATCCTGTGGGTCAAGTATTCCCGATTCCTGCAGTGACCTAATACAGGAGTCCACCAGCTCGAGACCGGTTGTGAGCTCATCTTCGATATCTTTTTGACCATCTGAAATAAAATATTTTAAAGTGATGAACACACACATCATATATTATTATTAAATAAGTTATCATTTAATCATTAAAAATATCATAGTACGTCTATGAAGTTTTCATTAGCTATCCCATTGTAATTCTTGGTCAACCAGCATTAAAGCCAAGGTCAACAATTTCATGTACCCTTGAAGAGCCTAGTTACTACAGAATTGAAAGATTTAACTCCCAATAAATTGTGAGCTATCATTTAATTTTACTATCGGGACATTTTCCTATTACTTTTCTGGGTCTCATTTCAAAGTTCATAAGAAAAGTCAACAGTAGAGATATGTGTAACTCTTCATCAATAAGGTCGACATTACCTTGTGACTGCCAGTGAAACTGCTCTTCTGCTGAACTGTAAAAAAGAGAATACACAGATATAATGCGTTGATTAGAAAAGACCCTAAAATCTAAGAAACAAAGGCACATTAGGGTAGGAATAGTGGCTCCATGGCATTTCATTTCATTTCTTACTCTGAAAAGGGAGATTGATACAATTTTAATTTTAATCGATTTGCTGTATATCCCTTTTGATCTACAAGTATTAGCATGTTTTAAATGGACATTGTTCAGTAATCTTCAGAAAAAAGCTCATTGTTTACAAAACCCAACCTGTTAGGCTCATTCTTTATAAGAGCCTCTACATACATGCAGTTTTACTCTGTTTTAGTTATTTTAGAATAGGATCATGTAGACTTCGTAAGATAGCCTAATAAGTAAATTACTATTTCTTTTTTTATTAGAGAGATGATCTAAATCTTTGCCTCCATTTAGCTGTATCATATTAAAATTTCCCTTTAGTTGGTTATTAGGAGTTTAATTTAAATATTACGACACTTTACCACCAACTAAATATACATTTCCAAAAGTCTCACTTATTAATGCATCTTATGAAATGATACAGACAGAAAGGGTTGTCCATATACATATGCCAAAGATATTGTATAGAGTGGCTCTGTGTAGGCAACAGAGATTTACTGTGAATGATTTATTAAATACAAAATACACAGTTTCTAAATATGAGCAAATCTTCCATTGTGTATGCAAACACTTCCTACATGCACTCTTTTTATAGGTAAATAATTGGTGAGAAATCTACATGCTAATTTCTGAGAGACATCATTTTGAGAATGATTCTATACACTTATTTCATGATATTTTACTCTGATCAAGCAGCTTCCAGGAATAGTTCATTAGTTTCACAAGAGCATGCGGATTGTAGATCTTTAGTCTGTACCTTAGGGTTCTGAATACATTTACAGAGACAAAGGGAATTCCAGGTATAAATCCATGTTCAGAAAAGCCATGACTGGTATTACTAAATACAAGGCTAGTCCATTAAGAAACGTGTGGCTGTTTTAGGGTATCTTGTCCCTGAGTCAATCCATATTAGAAAACTGGACAATGGTTTTATAATGATAAGAGCTGTAGATAGAATTGATACACAAAATAATATTTCATATTCAGTCCAATGCAACTCTTTCTTGCATCAAAAAGATGTGACATTATATACTAGTAACATCTAGCTACAAAGTTTAACTCTTAAAATAGAAGCATAATCCTAAAATCAACATTTTAAAAATTATGAGACAGGTTAAGTTAGTAAATGGAATTTAATATAAACAGTCCCATCTTATTATTCAAGAATCACCAATTCAAAAATCAGAACCACAGTTATCCTGGCTATGCTGATCCTCTAAGAAGTCTATGGATCATGACTTTTCAAGAACGTGAATATCAAAATATTAGTATTTAAAGATCAATCCCATTGGTCATTTGAAGAAGCTGGAATAGAACTCAGGCATTTGGGTTCTGAGTAATTTTGAATGCTTGTGTTAGAATCATCTGTTGTAGCGCTTCTTATATATATGTATTTTGGGGTCCCACTAGAGTCCTCGCAGATCAAAAAGCCTGTGGGTTAAGCTGGAAGCCTGCACTGCATAACAAGTTTCCATGACGATCCTTATGTGCTTCTAACTTTGAAAAACACTAGATACTATTTTCATTAATCATCCATTATTAACTTAGAGCTCCCCACAACTTCATTCTTTTTAAGGCTGGACAAATTCTTAAAGTGGTATAATATTTTAAGTGTTTACATGCCATAGATTTATGTATGGGTAGAAAACACTTCCATTTTGATAGTGGGTTGAATGGAGGGCCCCCTCTCTCAAAAGATATGTCCTCAGCAAAACCCTGAGACCTGTTAATGGTAACGTATTTGGGAAAAGTGTTTTTGCAGGTGTAATTAAGTTAATAATCTTCAGATAAGATCATCGTGGGTCATCTAGGTGGGCCCTAAATCCAATGACAGATGTGCTTATAAGAGACAGAAGAGAGACAAAGACGCAGAGGGGCCGGCCATGTGAAATCAGGGGTAGAGACTGGAGTGATGCAGGCACAAGCCCAGGAATGCCTGAAGTCATCAGAACCTGAAAGAGGTAAGGAAGGAAACTCCCCTGGAGACTGCGGGGAACACAGCCCTGCTGATACCTTGATTTTGTACTTCTGGTCTCCAAAACCATGAGAGAATGAATTTCTATTGTTTTAAGTCACCCGCTGTGGCAATTTGTAAAGATAGCACCAGGAAACAGATACAACAAAAAGTCCTTATGTCCTCCAGGATTTGCTACTGTCTCCATACTACTACACTCCTTCGCCAGTACAGCCATTTACTAAGTGCTTCCTGTATACCAAGGTGGTATAATATTACCAAGGCTCAGTTAATTCACAACGATTAGAACTCTCTTCTTTATTGATGGGGAATAACAGATTTAGTAACGTTGCAAAACTTGACCACACATCTCATAAGGATCCCAGCAGGGATTTAAACTGATGTGTGCAACACCTGAATTCAAATTCTTCTTTTTAAACCATTATTTTAGGTTCCAGGATACATGTCAAGGTTTGTTACATAGTAAATTCATGTCATGGGGGTTTGTTGTACAGATTATTTCATAACCCAGGAATTCAGCCCAGAACCCAATAGTTATCTTTTCTGCTTCTCAACCTCCTCCCACCCTCCACCCTCAAATAGATCCCAGTGTCTATTGTTTTCTTCTCTGTATTCATAAGTTCTCATTATTTAGCTCCAACTTGTAAGTAAGAACATGCAGTCTTTGGTTTTCTGTTTCTGCATTAGTTTTCTAAGGATAATGGCCTCCAGCTCCATCCATGTTCCTGCAAAGGACATGATCTCATTCTTTCTTTTTTATGGCTGCATAGTACTCCATGGTGTATATGTACCTTATCTTCTTTATTCATCTTGTTGCTGATGGCATTAAGGTAGATTCCATGTCTTTGTTAATGTAAATAGTGTTTCAGTGAACGTTTGCATGAATGTGTCTTTATGATAGAATGATTCATATTCCTCTGTAATGGGATTGTTGGGTTGAATGGTAGTTCTGCTTTTAGCTCTTTGAGGAATCATCATACTGCTTTCTACAATGGTTGCATTGATTTGTATTCCCACCAACAGACGTTAAGTGTTCATTTTTCTCCTCAACCTCTCCAGCATCTATTATTTTTTGATTTTTTAGTAACGGTCATTCTGACTAGTGTTCAAAATCAAAAGTCATGGAGCGGCTAGGCGTGGTGACTCATGCCTCTAACCCTGGCTCATGCTTATAATTCCAGTGTTTGGGAGGCTAAAGCAGTAGCATGGTTTGAGGCCAGGAGTTTCAGACTGGCCTGGGCAACATAGCAAGACCTCGTCTCTACAAAAAACGTTTACAAATTAGCAAGGCATGCTGGTGCATGCCTCTCTTTCTAGTTACTTGGGAGGTTGACATGGGAGGATTCTTTGAGTCCAGGAGTTTAAGGCTGCAGTGAGCTGAGATTGTGCCACTGTCCCTCATGCACCCCAGTCGAGGCCACAGAGCGAGACTCCTGCCTCTAAAAAATTTAAAAATAATTTTTAAAGATTTGTGCAGGGGAACATGCCTAGGTTACCTCCCATTTTAAGTGGTATGAGTATGTCAATGGAAGTCACTCCCAGTGCCCAGTTAAGTCCAGCACTCCTCTCCTTACAGGCACACTGAAGAACACACTCTGCTCAGCTCCCCTGCCCATAGATGGGGTCACGCAAAAGCCTATGAGAGGAAGGTGACAGGTGCCACTTTATGCTCAAGCACAGAAGAAGAAGCATGAGGTCTTCTTGCTGTCTCTCTCTTCTTAAGCCCTGTGTTGAGATGCATTCCCGAGTAACTACGTGGAATGGAAGCTTCTGCCCACCCAGAGAACACAGAGCACCAGTGAGAAATAAACCACTGTTGTGTTAAAACTCTGTAAATAGAGGGCTGCTCGAACCAGAAGAATAAATGTCACACTGACCAATTCAGAAAGGCGAATTCCTAAGGCATTTCTGGCTCCTTGATCTCCAATTTCTACAATACAGAGTTGGAAGAAAATGTCCTCAGTAACCCTAGTACAAATAAGGTGGTGCCAAGATTATGAGCAGGTGTTGATTTCATGTTTAGGGCTACAAAACGTGCTATTAGATATTTATTTTTCTGTTCATCTCTTTCAAATGTGTTTCAGTTTTATGACACAACAGAAAAAAGAAGAAACTTTTTATTATAATTAAAAATATCATTAGAAGTGAATATAAAACTATCTTTTCAAAACACAGGGATCTTCCTTTTGGGCAGACAAAAAGCATTAATCACTTCAATGGTTTCCCTGATTTCTTTAGCACTGTTAAAATGCATTAAAAGTATGACTGATCCCAGAGAATAGAAGTCCCAAGAGAAAGCTGGTTCGGATTTTATTTCCTTTAAGTGCATACTTTAATCTTTTAGCTAGGAGCTTTTATGCAGTTTCCTATTTTATATATTTGACTCCTTGTTTTAAAAATTGCTCTAAGGTAGATGCTTTTTAAAAAGCAAATAAACTATTTATTTATTCAATAAACATGGATTATGCCTCTGTCTCAGACACTCTCATATCAGGTATCTAGGAATTACCTGTGGTAAATTTTCTCTCAATTACATAATTCAATTTAATATAATGGAAAAGTCATTTTTGAAGGTGTTATAACTTAAATGCATGTTCGATTTCAGGAAACAAAATTTGCTTTTACTGCTGCAATGCTATTTTATGAAATAGAAATCACCTCTAAAGAAATAAATGTAAGAAAACTATAGACGTAATTTACGTCAGTCTAAACGTGTTTGAATATACCTAAATGTAAGATCCAGAATCTATTGACTATGAGAAAAACATGTATTTAAGACAAAGACAACCATAAATAACACTTAACCTTTAAATACATAAAGACATCAGTGATACTAGGAAAGAATTTTTGAAATAATATACTAAAAGCACAAATCCTAACAGCTAATATGTATATAGGTC